CGGCTACTTGGAAGGCTGAGGCAGAAGGATCGCCGGAGCCCAGCAGGTCGAGGCTGCGGTGGCCGGGAGCGGCCACTACACTCCAGTCTGGGTGACAGAGTGAGACTTCAACTCAAAAAAAAAAAAAAAAAAAGATGGCAATAGTCATCAAATTGATTTTACAGACTCAATTCGGTCCTTATCAAAATCTCAACTGCTCCTTTCTGCAGTTCCTAAAATTCATATAGAAATTCCAAGGACCCAGAATAGCCACAACAATCTTGAAGAAGAACAAAGTTGGAGGGACTCATGCTTCCCAATTTCAAAACTTACAACAAAGTTATAATAATCAAGACTGGTATAAAGATAAACATATAGGTCAATGGAATAGAATTCAGAATCCAGAAATAATAGTAATCCCAAATACACTTATGGTTAGTGGATGTTTTAAAGGATACTGAACAGTTAAATGGGGAAAGAACAGTCTTTTCAAAAAGTGATGCTGAGACAATTAGACAGAAGAATAAAGTTAGGTCACTAGCTCACACAGTACACAAAAGTAACTCAAAATGGATCACATACCTAAATGTTAGAATGAAAACTGTAAAATACTTAGGAAAGAACATGGATGAATATCTTTGTGATCTTGGATTAAGTAATAGTTTCTTAGATATGACATCAAAAGCACAAGTAACCAGAGAAAAATTAGGTCAATTGGACTCCATCAAAATAAAAACTTTTGTCCTTCAAAGGACACTATCAAGAAAGTAAAAAGACAACCCATAAGATGGTAGAAAATATTTGTAAAACATGTACTTGCAGGTCCAGAATATATAGAGAACTCTTAAAACTCAACACTAAAAAGGCAATTTTAAAATGAGTGAAGGATTTGAATAGGCATTTCTCCAAAGAAAAATGTATATGGCCAATAAACACATGAAAAAAATTCTCAGGATGATAAGTCATGAGGGAAATGCAAAGCAAAACCACAATGTGATACCACTTTACACCCACTAAGATGGGTATAATAAACAAACCAAAAAAAGGCACTAGTAAGTGTTGGCAGGGATGTGGAGAGAGGAACCCTCATACATTGCTGGTAGAAATATGAAATAGCGCTGCTGTATTGAAAACGTTTGGCTCTTCTTCCAAAAATTAAACATAGGATTACCACACAATTCAGCAATCCTACTTGTAGATCTATACCTGAGATAATAAAGAAACGTGTCCACACAAAAATTTGTACACAAATGTTCCTAGCAACTTTATTCATAGTAGCCAAAAAGTAGAAACAATCCACGTCCATGAGTGAGGAATGTATAAACAAAATAATGTATATGTATACAATGTAATATGATTAAGCCATCCAGAGGGATGACGTATTGATTCATACTATAACATGGATGAACCTGGTACAACATTATGCTGAGTAAAAGAAGCCAGATACAAAAGGCCCCATGTTGTGTGATTTCTTTTGCATGAAATGCCTAGAGTCCTATGAGCAAAACCATAGAGACAGGAAGTAGATAAATGGTTTCCAGGGACTGGGGGTAATGGCAGAAATGGGAAGTGCTAATGGACTCTGGGTTTCTTTGTGGGGGCGATGAACTGTTCTGGAATTAGTGGTGATGGCTGCAGACTTTGTGACTACAATAAAAGCTATTGAGTTGTACATTTTAAATGAGTGAATTTTATAGTATGTGAATTATATATCTCTCAATTTTAAAAATTACCCATCTTTCTTTGATCATTCTGCCAATCAAGTTGTTCTTATAAAGCCTACTATAATTTGCAAAGAAAAATTACCATTAAAGCATATATTTATGTGCTTTTTGCTTTTAAGAGGAAACAAAAGAAGGTTCATAATCATCCTCATAGACTGCCTGGAATGTTACCAGTATTATGTATCAGTGCAGAAAGAGAGGTAACAAAATCAGCATTTCTCTTCAGTTCTGCAATGACAATACTCATTCATCACTTTTGTCCTCTCATTATCCTGACACAGACCTTTTCATTTCGATGTATGAAATGTTGATTGTTTCAAAATGGAAGGAAGTGTTTCTGTATGCGCAAGTGTTTCTGTATACATGTTTCATGCCTGTTCTCTTGCTCTTTTTCCCAGGTCCTCCCTTTCCCAAGCCAGGTGGTGTACAACAGAGTGGGCAAGTGTGGGAGCCGTACTGTGGTCTTGCTCCTGAGAATCTTGTCGGAGAAGCATGGATTCAATTTGGTCACATCTGACATTCACAACAAAACCAGACTTACTAAAAATGAGCAGGTAAGTTGACTTTGCCCATCGTTAAACTGTATTTTGCTTCAGCTCATTTGTGTAATTAGCAGGGGTGCCTTACAGGGCATCCTTCAAACTCCTGAGTAGTGAATGCCAGAGTTTCAATTTCATGCTGTATTTTTGCCCGAGTATGGAAGAAAATTTAAATTAAGGGTTCTGAGGGAACTTCACAAACTAGGAAATTTCTCTGATGAGGGATACTTCTATGAGGACCAGAATGAAGGACAGTATACCCTTGATGTTGTCTGTTTAGCTAAAATTAGCAATGCATATATCATGAATAGTCAAACCACTGAGCTGTAAATAATGCTAAAGTCTTCACAGTCAAAATGAGAACATTTTGTTGTAGTATTCCATCATCTGCATTTTCTCACCAGTGTCCTAAATGTTTATGGTTGTAGTAAAGAGAAAATCTTCTTTGGGCCAGAAGTCTGCTTGGTTGATGAGGACATAAGCTTCCTGCCCTGGTAAACTCAGAGGATCTTAGGCTTCAAGAGCAGCCTTTGGGGGCTGGGTGCAGTGGCTCAAGCCTGTAATCCCAGCACTTTGGGAGGCTGAGGCGAGAGGATCATCTGAGACCAGGGGTTCCAGACCAGTCTGGGCAACTTGGCGAGACCTCATCTCTACAATAAATTTAAAAATTAGCCGGGCATGGTGGCGCGTGCCTGTAGTTCCAGCTATAGTTCCAGCTACTTGGGAGGCTGAGGCAGAAGGATCACCTGAGCCCAGCAGGTTGAAGCAGTGGCCGGGAGCATGCCACTGCACTCCAACCTGGGTGACAGAGTGAGAGACTTCAACTCAGAAAAAGAAAGAGCAGCATTTGGAGTGTTCAGTGGTAGGAAAAGAATCACCCCCACTTCGTAGGAACAACTTTGCCACACAAGTGGAGGAGGTAGAGACCATGGTCGCTATGAGGTGCCTTTCCTGAGATAGAAGTCAGGCATAGTGTTCTCACCATCACTTTCAAGGGTCAAGCTTGTCAGCCTGGTCTCAGAACTTTGTTTCTTTCCCCCTTAGATACACAGATTGAACCGCCACCAATGAGTGGTGCATGTGTGTGGGGAATTCACAAGGTATATGAATTTTATAATTACCACCAGGCTGAGATCATAATTATGGACATTTCAACCCATGCATCTTACTTTCGGACATAATCCTCACCTTTGAGAAATTCAGAACTTCCCAGAGGAAATCACGTTCCTGCTTTACCACAATCCTATCTTTCTTTCTTATCTTAGAAGAAAGCGGGTCTGTTTTAAGACAGTAATATGGCCAGCAGGACTTGCTCAAAAGCCGGTATGGCCGGGCTCATTGGCTCAGCCTGTAATCCCAACTCTTTGGGAGCCTGAGGTGAGTGAATTGCCTGAGCCCACGAGTTCGAGACCTGCCTGGGCAACTTGGTGAGACCTCATCTCTACAATAAAAAAAAAAAAAAATTAGCTGGGCGTGGTAGCTTGCGTCTGTAGTTCCAGCTACTTGGAAGGCTGAGGCGGAAGGATCGCCGGAGCCCAGCAGGTCAAGGCTGCGGTGACCAGGAGTAGCCGCTGCACTCCAGTCTGGGTGACAGAGTGAGACTCCAACTCAAAAAAAAAAGCCAGTATGCTCAGTGTCTTTCATAGTATGAAGATCAGAATGCCTGCTCCATAAACTTCCATTAAAGAGTCACCGAGTATCAAGTTGCAATAGTCCTTATCAGTACCAGTAGTTAGTGGTCATTACCAATCAGTGAAAAACATTTTGGAATAGGCTCTGTAGTAGGATCTTCATAGAAAAAGTTATCTTTGGTGGCATTTAAGGATATTGCATTTTATGAGTAACTTTGTTGAATAGGTGTAGGTTCTCTTTGGTTTCCTTACTTGATTAGGCTGGTGATGCCCTTTTAACAACCTGAAAGACACTATAAATCAATAGCCTATGTGATTGCAATTTTATTATCATTATTAAATCTTGCTTTCTTTTGAGTCTAAGTTTCAAGGCCCACTTATCAGATGATACTTAACTATAATCACACTCCATTCTCAGATGCCTCATAAAACACGTTTGCTACATTTTAGTTCCTACTGCTGAAGAGGGTACAAATAACCCAGAAAGCAAGACAAAGCTAACTAAAAGATTAGATGTTGAGATGTTTGAGAATGTCCTAGAAGGGAGAGCACAAAATATAATTATTAAATATGCCATGGGTTTTTACACAGATAAAACAACTTTGTTTCCTGTGAGGAGTAAAGATGAAAAAGAAAAATACAATTGTTAAATGTGAATGGAATAATTTAGATTAAAAATTAGCAATAATTCACTAGCCATGTATAGATTGTTAGATTCAGAAAGAGTTAAAAAACAAAGTCATCCTTCTCCTCTAAAATATAGTTAGCTCTCATCTGTTTGGAATGGTTGGCTTGTCTGGAAGCCAGGGAATAGACTAGACAATATTTTAAGGTTCTTTCCAGCCCTGTGATTCTGTGATATATTTGTACAACTTCTAGCATAATCTGCACTGTGTAGTTGAAACATTTCTGATTCCTGTGGTCAAGATGACCTAGAATATATTTCATTACTTTATTATTCCAGATTACTATTAATTATAAGGCAAAGGTAAAGATAAGATAGAAAAAAACCAGTGTATAATTTTGATGTAAAAACAGACATAGCAACTGCAGTTAACTCATCTGGTTCTGGCCTGCAGAGAGAGTAGCCAGGACACAAAATGACAAGAAACCTGGTTTGAAGTAATTCAGTAATGTTTAGAGACACTCTTTTCCTTGTTCTTGGATCTCATTTATTAAAGTTTCAAAGTGCAGAAAACAGAGGAAAAAATATTTTAACATAATATATTCAAGAAACAATTAGTGGTATGAATAGCTACTCTTCTTGGTAACTTCTAAGAGGAATAAAGGGGGCATTGATTTAGGAAACTGGTGAAAACTTTATAGTCAATGGTTCTCACCCATAAACAGTAGAACTCTGAAAATTTGTTCCCATAGAATCATTGTCCTCCAGAGTTGATAACAATTCTGCTTCAGGTGCAGTATGAGTTAAACAGGTTCTTGTGGGCTGGCTGGGATGCTATCCACCATGTAGAGCATTTCGTTTATGAGAAAATGTGTTCCAAGTTCCAAACTACTGACTTACAAGTGAACTTTAGAATAGTATCTCTTTATAAGCCTGGAATTATCTATACCATTCATTTATACAGAGAGGCACCTGTCTGGGCCAGAGTCAAGTTCACACATCCATTTCTCCCTGGAGGGCAGCTATCATCACACACATGCACAAACTCACAGTTAAATTTTTAAAATCTATTAAATGAAACAAGACACTGAAGGGATTATTAAAAAGGAAAGGGAGCGTGAAGACACCAAATGTTAGAACGCCTATAAAAATCCTACTACAGCTGTCCTTATAGAAATAGAAACACCTTGAAGTTTATATTTCAGAAGACTCCGCCTCGACAGCAGAGCATGGACAACTGTTGCCAGGCGAGAGCTGGACTTTTGCACAGCACATTATAAACCTGCAATTACTTTACTGCATTTATGCTCTAAAGCCAGATTTCAGTTTCTTGGACTGGCTTAAACAATTTCTTAAAAAATGGAGATTGTATATAGTTTTTGAAAGATAGAGGAATTTTTTTCAGAAGACATGCCAAAAAAACTCATAACCACATTTGGTTAAGATCTGATGCTATCTTTGAGAACATTGCTCTAAGGATCAGAGTGCTACAGGCAATCACAGATGGAAGAATCCACAATTACTTCATTCTCATTGGAAAAGAACAAAAGTTATCAGATATGAGGCTAAAATATTAGGAAAGCAAATAATTTCTATTTATGTTGAAACTGAGGATTACAAATTGGATATAGCATCTACTAGAATGCTGATTATTTTACTTTATTATTTCACTGAAATCTTTAGACATAAGAATACATTTGTGAGTGGGTACGATTTCCTGTTTTATGGATGAGAAAACTAAAACAACCAGATGAAGCCACCTTCCAAATACAGTATAATATAATGACCATCTGGGGCACCTGGCCTTGAACCTGGGTCCTCCTGAATCCAAAAACCATTCTCATCATGCAGTGGCTGGATGCAGAATCTCTAGCATGGCTGGAGTTGCAATGGCCCTTCTCCTGGAGATTCTGGGGCAGTGCCCAGAAAGCTTTTTTTTTTTTTTTTTTTTTAATGAAGTGCCACAAGAGAGTTTACGATGCAGCCAGGATTGAGAAGTCCTGTCAAAATCATCATATTGCCATTTCCCTAGATGTATTCCTGAGAATCCTAGTCCCTGGGCCAATGAAAGAAAGAAAACACCACAGTTCAACACATTGGGAGGAAATGCTGCCTGCCTTGTCCAAATGAATCCATTTACGATGGTTATTTGCAGTTTGAAGACTTTGAGAATTTAGAACAAATTAAAAACAAAAACAAAGATTCTGTTTAACTGGGGTTTTCCTAGTATTTTCTGGGATTAGTTGATCAGGGGACTCTTTGCGTGTTGGAGACTCATTTGCATCCTGTGGAATGCCAGTTCACGGTTTGTGAAATCCTGGGCTAGTTTTCATCTTCTCACCAGTCATACCAGTAAAGGGTACTGTTTCACTATAAATGTCACATGAGCTCTGACTCCATCTGACACCTATTCAAATGATCAAACCCTTTGAAAAGTACGCAAAAGGTTGGGGAGGGGAAGATTTCATGCTTGTGTGCCCTTGGCTGCTTATCTTCTTGGGCAAAACAGTCTTTCTTTTTTCTTTCTTTCTTTTTTTTTTTTGAGTTGGAGTCTCACTCTGTCACTCAGACTGAGTACAGTGGCATGCTCACAGCCACTGCAGCCTCAACTTGCTAGGCTCAGGCGATCCTTTGGCCTCAGTCTTCCAAGGAACTGGCACTACAGGTGTGTGCTACTATGCCCAGCTAATTTTTTGATTTATTGTAGAGACAAGGTCTTATCATGTTACTCAGGCTGTTCTCGGACCCCTGAGCTCAGT